AAATAAATTAAAATTTAAAAGTTATTAAAAGAAATATAGAAGAGCAACAAGCTTCAGTTTTTGGTAAGCATCAGAACCCTTTCATGGCAGCTTTTGTATCTTTGCTATATGCAGAGGAGGTGGAACAAGTAGACTTTGGGGGAGGGAACATAAGAGCAACTTGAATTAAGGAAGGAAGCTTAGATTAAGCCTTAGAAGAGGAGAATTATGACTCTTTGATTGGGTTTTAGCTATTGTAATCAGGGAATAAGGAGATTGTGTGAGTCTGCCTGAAAATTGTTTGATAATAATATTATTGAATAATATTATCAGAGATTTATACTAACATCACCTTTGTAGCTGGTGTACTATACTGACATTCAGTACATAGATTGGTGTGGGTTTTTAAAATTTCTAATTAAGTTCTTCACACTTGGTTTGTTTGAAAACTTTGCTGAAGTAGGACCTATGACATTCAAAATGCTGTGACAGAATCAGAATTAACACAGGCATTTTCACTTTCACTTTAGATAAATTTGTATAATTCAGTATCATGCAGTAGGAGTTCATTCTTAAGAAAGCAAGCTTTTACATCAGTGGTTCAGTGTTTTATTCTGACAGCATTCTGTGCCTTCTGCATAGATCCTAGCTGAAGAGATGCTGGCTGAGTGCTTTGCCACCTGAAAATGTGGGACAGGAGGGAGAAATCCTGCCTGGTCAGCAATACTATCAGTTTGGCTAAGTATGTACCAGACCTCAGCCGGTGACTCAGCCCTGGCTCTCTCTGCTCAAATCTGCTGCTGCAGCGTGTGCAGCACAGCTCCATCTCCCCATCCAGCTACCAAGGTCTTCAGGAAAGTGAGTCCTTCAACAAGCTGGGAGCTCCCGTGGGCATTGTTCTGGCAGGCCAGTATGGCCCAGGGGCGCTCCAGTGCCTGCCTCTGCTTTGAATGAAGCACATGCTTATTTACATTGCTTGCAGTTCAAGTGGGCAAAACTCCTTGTAACTGAATTAAGGAAAGACTATTTAGTAAGTGGATGGCAGCAAAGAAAAGACTGTTTTGAGGAAAAACAGGTTTTTTATTTAAACTTTGTATCAAGCTTTCATCCCGAGTATGCACAGTAGGTTTCAAGAGCTATTTTTTGTAGGTGAAATAGCTGGGAATGGAACTCTTTAACAGGATGTAAAAAACCTGTAGCTATGTTAAGTGACAAAGCTCTGGCCATTGCATCCAACAAGCAGTGCTTTTGTACAGTGGCAGTTCATGTGCAGCTGATTTATCAGTCAAAAAACCAGCCGTTACCTTACTGTAGGATGTGAGCTTCAAAATGAGGCTGTGCCCTCGTTTTGTGTGAGAACTTAAAACAGGCAAAGTTTGAGGTGTTAAAAGTTAGTCGGCCATGCGTGAGTTACAAAGCCATGACAAGTTAGGAACTCATTAAATCTTGAAAATTGTTGAATTTTGTCACTTTCCTTCCAGCTGGTGTAAGACTAAGATGATTTTACAACAAAAGAGGGTTTCTTGACAATATTATAGCAGCATGATGAGAAGAATCTTTTTTTTGATTGAACTAGGGCAGAAGATTCTTCTGGCACTTGTGCTAAAAGGTCTGGCCCTAGCCATAACCATCTTCTGTGTTCCTCTCATGGAGTTTCTTAGCAGCATGTAGGTGGAGTCAAGGTCTCTGAGCTCCAAAAGATTAATGCCTAATATGTGATCTACAAATGTATTTTTTCCATCTGTGGTAGATATAAAGAAAACAGAAAGTCCTCGTTTATTCCACCAGTAGAAAAATCAGTAAATATTTATTATCCCATTTCCTAATGTTCTTTGGAGAAGATTGAATCCTTATTTCAATTATGCATGGTATGCTGAAGATATTCATTTGGGACTTTATTACTGGGTTCTATTGTAATTATCTTTACTTTGGGTGCTGTCTTTGCACAGACTGAAAACCATTATACATCTCTTTTTCTTAATTTAACTTTTTACTGTTATTTGTCTAAATTCTACCTACAACATTCCAAATATTAGTTATTTCACGTGTTCTACCATAAATATATACAGGTGAGGCCTTGATACAATTGAAAAAATACACAATACAGCTGAGGTGGGACAGAGATATGGAATGAGTTTTTGATTATCTAAAATACAGGCACAATTCCAGCCTTAACTCTTAACATTGTGTGACCAGTTATTATGTCTTGTTTGAACCTTATGTGAAAAAAAAACCCATGGAAAATGCAAAATATTTACTGTGTTCACAAAACTGCTAGTGCTTCTTTTTCCAGTTTCACTCATCCCTGTCAGTTCTGACAATGCTGCCATGTGACTTGTGGTGAAATTAAATTCCCATAAAAACCTCAAGTTTGCGGTATAAAATATACTTGTGAATTTCTCTAATGAATGTGCTTCGCCACAAAGGGCCTAGAGCAGCTCACTGGTCAGTGACTATTATTATGCACAAATCAAGTCCCTCTTGTGGGAACACCTATATTAGGATGCTTATAGTATAATATGACATGTTTTCTTTCATGTGATACCTAGGATGACCCTGTCTCAAATTTGATGCAACAAATATTATGAGGGTTCTGACCTCAGGAATCAAGTAAAAGTTTCACCATAGACTTCACTTAAGACAAAAGCTCATGATAAAGAAATTTCATAGTCAGATCTAGGACTGCTGTGCATACCTTTTCAGGGATCTGCTGACACTTTGATGAGTGTAATATCAAGAGTTGTTGAGCTCTTTTGGCAAAATGAAAAAGAAAGAAAAAATGCTGCAGTTTGAGTATATCTGTATGTTGCTGTGTTGTCAGACATGCTTTTAAAATAAGTTTTTAAGTTTTTATAAGAAATGCTTTAATAAAATGCTAATATGGAATGTTCTGTTCAGCAGTCACAGAAAAGAAACAGTCCAGAGTCTCTATCTGCTCAATACAGAAAAGGCCCATAACAGAAGCAGCAAAATTACTTAATATGAAGAATTTTGAAAAAGGAAACGAAGCTATTCTGCATTCTCATTTATTAGACAGGGAGAGGGAACTGAAGAGTAACCTTTAAGGAACTCAAATTGCACCTGAATAATTTGCATTTAGAAAGGATGTTCCTTTCATGTTCAGTCGGTTTATTGAATCCATGCTAGAGTCCTGTAAGTGCTACATAGGTTTTGCATCTCCAATATTTTGCCTAAATGAAAGACTAACCTTTGGAATCTGGCTTGGCTATATTACATTTATGTTTAGTCTAATAGAGGTGAAGAAAGTCATTGAAATGAATGGCACAAATTCTCTTGGTCCTTTGGAAGCAGCTTTAACAACAATCTCACTTGGATGTTCAGAGTGACAGGAATTAACATCATTCATGTACATAGGAACATCCTTCTACTTGAAACAGCCTTCACAAATTCATGTTTCAGTAATCTACAAGGGCAGAGTGTGGTGCTGAGAGAGGAAAAGCTGAATACACTTTTAATTACTGTGAGAAATTAAAAAGAAGGCAAGAGCTTTGCGTGGTGAGCAAGTCTGCTTTTATTTTGATTCTACTAGTCTGCCATAAAGAAACTTCAAACAATGCCTATTTTACTGAACAGAGATACTTTGAAAATTATTGTCTTAAGGAGCTGTGGGTTTGTGTGAATGTGGATAGAGGTAATTTTGTTCCTTTAGTGTACAGTATATGTTGACAGTAAATTCTTCCTGCAGACGGTGATTATAAGAAATTTTGCCTTGTGGGTTACACAAAATACTGTATTAGAAGTATAAGAGAAATTTTGCTTTGTATGTGGGACTTCTCAATAATACACCTATTTCAGTCTCCTTCTGTTTCAGCCTTTATGTGTAGATCTCTCAGGTATCTTGAACAGTCTTTGTGGACAAGATAGTATTTAACAAGGTGCTTGAGACTTGTAATATTTTGGAATTTGTTTGTGATTTTTATGTAAATGCAAAATCATATTGAAATCAGACAGGAAACTAATTTGTGAATTATACTCAGGAAGTGTTCTGTGGAAAAATACCCAAGTCAGTAACAGGGAATAGATATTTAATATACTCAGCAATAGATATATCAGATTGTAAGGAGCATTTTTGAGTTTATTCCTACCAGTGAGTATTTGTTTGTATTAAGGCAAGGGGATAGTTTGGTTCTCATCCTGAAAAACCAGAAAAAGCTAATGTCTTTGTGGACTCTGCACTCATACTGTCTTTAGGGGAACTTAGCAATAACAGTGCAATTGCTCTTTCAGCTGGAGTCTGGAATGTCCTGAGTTATTCTGAATGTGCATTAGCCTCAGTTATTGGCACCCTAGTCCCCAGATGGAATTTTTTCTTCTAGTCCTCTGCAGCATTCCTTGTCAAAAGGGCTACTCTTACCCTTTACCACGTGATGGTAGAAGGTTTAGAGTTTGGAATGACAGTACTGAAAAGTGAAAACTTCTATAGAAGAAAAATCATAACTTTTTTTCAAAAAAATCCCTATGTAACCTTTGCTTTCATTTTGTTGAATCCCATGACAAGAAATTATCCAGTAAACAGTTTACTATTGCTAAATGTCAGGACTAAATAACAAGAGCCATGGATAAAATAACCACCATAATAAAGGTTGACTAAAGCCATACATAAACAAAGGCTTCTCAGACAACCTGGATATTTTGTACATGTCCCATCAGCAAAAAAAGGCATGGCATGGCTGCAATCCAGCTGCTAAACTGTAATTGGTTATGAACCTGTGTAAGAAGTTGTCCCACCCTGATGAGTAATCATCTCATTTCACTCATTGTTAACTCACTAGCTGCTCATGGTTGGGTTAGAGTGATGGGGATATGGTAACATGCACAGCATGTTCTTTGGCACTGAAGACTTACAGCTAAGACAGAAGAATGCTGTGTATTCTCAGAGATGGAGGGTGCAGCTCGTCTGATTTTCTGTATCTGTTCTTTGCTCTGCCTATTCAAAGAATTTGCTCTACCTATTAAAAGAATAATAAATTGGTATCAATATTCTGCTCTGTTTTCTCTAGGCACTCCAAGAATGAGACTTAAGAGACATACCAAAGCTCAGAAATAAAACATAGGTCATCTAGACCAATGGATCTTTCTGCAGTAAGAGCAAAGCTTGACCATGACGTTGTTTTCTTTGGAAAGAGTTCAGCTCTGTTTCAGAAACTGCAGATAAGGAATGTAAGTATCCATATTTGTGTGTGTGTGTGTAAACCAAAATAAAAATTTCAAAACAAAGCAAGTTGACTTGCTTCTTCCCAGCTCCATGTAGAATCATAGAACTACATAGATAGCAGTTGTGTTGCTTTGTGCATGCCTAAGGTGTGGTCAGGAATCAATATAGAAATACATTTAAAATATAATGGAAAAAAGAAAATAACATGGATAAATGTCTTGTTGCTATTTTGTTTGCCTCTAAATGTTTTTGTAAATAAATGAGTATGTGCAATTTGCCATGGAATATCCTTTATACTAAAAACTCAATTTGGAACAAGTTTTACATCGTACTCTATAACTTCTTTGGATTTTTAAAAACTTTTTAATAACTTGGCATATGAATTTATGAGTGTACTGTCGTACTGTCATCAAAAAGAAGATCAAAATAGTGACTAGAATAAGTGAAAAGGAGATAGAACTGGCACAAAATCTGTACGGAACAAAGAAGTTACCTTTATTATTCAAAGTACAACTCCCGTTGGGAACTTGTCTAGGTATCATATAAATCATGATGGAATAGGTCCTCTAATGAAGGACCATTATGATGGGAAGCAGGTAGTCTCCATTTGAAATAAAAAGCTGGGCACAATTATACCGGTTGTTAACGTGCAAGGAGCTAAAAGAACCCTGTGTGTTATTAGGCACTTGCCCTTACTACCTGAAGTGGAATTGTCTGATTGGAAAGTTGGGTGGGACTTCCTGTGGGAAAAAAATGCAAATTGTGTACAAAGTTATCTGTATGAATCTTATGACTGATTTTAGTGGTTTAAGGTTAAGTTATCTTGGCAATGAAAGAATTATTTTGGCTGTTCCTGAGGACTGTAAACTTTATTAAGCACATGCATGACAAGTAATCTGATAGCAAACAATGTCTTTTTTGCCTCCCTAGTCCCTTAAACGTTGGCTGAATACTTTCATCTGAGATAGGCATTGCTTTCACTGTTGTTTTTATGACAGATGAATATGAATGGTGATTCTACCTTTGGAAGGCAGAAGATGAGATGCATTGTCTTTTAGTGGTCAAGTCTGATAGGTATCCTCTATATTGAGTCTTATAAAAGATTTTTCAAAGTGAAAATAAGTTTTCCCGAGAGAGAAAGATAAGAAATAAAGGATTAGTAACTCCTACTGTGAAATTCTAGCCCTATTTCTAATGCTAGGTTAATAGTTGGTATTTCTGATCCTAAAGGCCTATGATTCTAATGAAAGATTTGCTCCTGACTTCAGGATGATCACAGTTTTACTCCTATGGAGAAGTTGGGCTTTCCTAGGAAAGGTAATGTATAAAATACAACCTCTGCTAGCACATAATGAATGCAACATGATGGGAAGAGGCTAACATGGAATGACATCCATAACCAATAATAGATGCTGTGAGCATCCTGTCAATTGGTGTACTAATGTTAGTCACCAGCTTGATTAATGACATGGAAACACTCACTCTTTCTCTGAATAGTGTCTGAGTGCCTCCTGCCAGAGCAGTGGAGATCACCTTCTGCTGAGCTTATGTATATATGCAGGAATAGAGCCATTATGGGTGCTTCAGTGCATTGTGTAATAGCCTCTTCCAAATGAAGGGGACTCAGAGACATCATTCAGTTTGTACCTGCCTGTGTTTGTTTGTACGTGTAAAATCGGCTGACTCTCAGACCAAGGGCTGCCTTGTAGCTTTAAGCTCAGCAGTGGCTGTAGTCTGTGTTAGGGACTTTTTCTGTCACTATAAAAGAGAAAACAAGACTCATACTAAAGATGGCCCCAGAATTTCTTTTGCAATGATCCTCCCTGAGAAACTTGAAGTTTCTTGATCACAAATGGGAAAACACTTGAAGAAATGTGTGTATGTGGTAGAGAACTTGAGAAAACAAGAAAGGGATTTCATTGAATAATTTCCAAAAAGTAAAAAAAGAATTATTTATATCAAACCAGAGGGAAACAGAACAGTGGTGTGAGAATCCTTTTACTGTCTGAAAGAACTGGAAATTTTACTCAAGACTGGGCAAAGTTCTGTATTGTGGTATTAGATGCTATCCTGAGATACTCAGCTTGGCACAGTGAGACCACTTCATTGCCTCATTTCATGCTAGTGTGTTTCAGGCTGTGTGCTAAATATGTCCAGAACCTGGCTTTTTATTCTAAGTGCAATAGATGACATTATTCTATTTTGACAGGGAATATCTTTAGCAGTATGCCCTGAAATACCTTAGGGATTCAAGCTGTCCCGTAATCAATGCTGCAGACGATGCAGTTTTGATTATTTTTCTCTAATATATGAACTGTAACACTAGATTCATCCTGGCATACATCTGTCAGACCAGACTGAAAGCATTCAGTTAAAGCCACTTCATTACCAGCACAGGGCCAACAAATAGGGGACAATCCAAAAAAGGGGGATTGAAATATAGCATAGATGAGAAATATATCTCAAAATAAGGTCATAATGGAGGATATAAATTGCACAGCAATCCAGACAGCAACAGGACATCCTCAAAATTACTACAGCATCTGCATACTGATACCGCCTTTAACAGATATGCAAAAAATATGGATTGTTTGTGAAATAAACAGCTATAGGTCAAGATGTAACATAACAGAAAAAACAACTTTGCAAATATAAATATTTATTATTAGTGGATATGAATTGCTTCCTACTAAAATGGGCAAGAATTATGAACCCAACCCTCTTTAAAACTAATTGGGGAATTAGAAGGCTAATGAGAGAATGTAGTAAAAAAACCTCTTTTGCCTTCTAGAAAAAACAGCAATGCTAGACCATAATGAAGAATACTCTAGTGTATTGAGAGCTACTGGGCTGCAAATCCACCACAAAAAATCTTCAGTGTTTGATACTGAACCAAGAAAAGAAAAACACAAAATGAAAATTCTGCATTGCCTGAAGGACATGCAGAATTCTTTCCCATCTCTATTTGTTGTGATTGTTAATACTCGTGTGAAACACTGCTGGACTGCCATAGAGCAAATTATCAGCAAGAGATGAATGTGTCTCGTTTGATGTTTGAGCTTATTTGATAAGATGCAGGTAAGAGTTAATGTCATCTCTACATATTGTGCCATGTTTAACATCTGCTATTCCTTTCTGGGTTTGCTTGCTGTTTCAGTCCTTAACTTATGACCTTTTCTTTTTTTTTAATTTAGCCATTGATTACACCCCAGGATGTGTGATTCATTTGAACTGCAAAATCCCTATTTCTTGTGGTACTAATAAGCATTGTGCCTAGTGAAAGCTGTAGCAGAAGAGAAAGGGAGGAGGCCTAACAGGCTTGACACTGTCTTTTGTCTGCGCTGCAGCAAGGGGAGAAGGAAAGATGTATAGGAATTGTCTTATCATCGTGCACATATATACATGTACATAAGTATTTTTATTTGTTTATCTAATCTCTTGGATGCTTTTTCAATGCCTGTCTTAACCCTTTGTTGTTGAAGTGAGCAAGGCAAAACTATATGACAGGCATTTAATTTTTTTCTTTCTCGAGAACAACTAGTGTCCCTTGTGCTGAGAAGAAAATGGGACTATGTGGAAAGCTAAATTTCAATTAATACGTCAAAGGGCAGTTTGTGATGTTTTGCCTATAACTAGGGTTTAACTGAGTTGCAGAACTCTGGGAATTTTGTGTTTTCCTGTAGGCTCACTTACAGCATTCTTACCTCTCCTACTTTTCTGCTCTTCCTCTGCTTCTCTGAAAGGGACAGATGAAAGCAGTATAATCTTGTTGAATATGGTTCTTGCTGATGAATTAGATGAACAGCTGCGGGGAACAGTCTAGGAATACAATTTGGTGAAAAAAAGAGATGAGATACAAAAAAATTCCCTTATGATGCCATTCATTCTACATGCAGTATTATACCACATTGATGGAAAAATGGGAAGGCCTAAAACTCAATTTCACTTCGAGCTGGTTTAAAAAGAAGCAATTCTACATACATTGCAGCCACAAAAACATATATTTATAAGACTTTTACTTTGTAGGTAGCAACTGCACAGCTGTATACATTTGATTTTTTGCATGCATAAGAACTTACTTTTACAGGCAAACTATTGTACTTTCTTCTCAGTATTACCCAAACAGCTATGCTAATTCTTACATTATGTAGTTCATCTCTTTTCTTTGTGCTTTAACCAGTTTGGAAAGGGGGAGAAAATCCTACACTTTAGCATGCAGGACAATCAAAAATCCGATCCAGAAAATGGATGTCATTGGTGTGTCAGTGTTCCTGCAATATCCTCCAGCTCACATTTTTACATTGTAAAAACCCAGCATGCAATTGTGTGTTAAGATTGGAAATTAAAGCTAATCTCCCCAGTTGCCTTATGAATGTTATACACCAAATGAAGCAATAGCATTTTGCTTTCTTGTCTTGCTAGTTTAGTGAATTCTTTCACAGTTCTTTTTCACCTAGCAGAGTCTGGGAAATACACAGAGAATTAAATGCACCTGTCTGCAGAAATGGGAAAGAATTCCATTAATCTTGGATCAATTACCATTTAGTGTAGTTCTAATAATTCACATATTTTGGAAAGGTTGATGGGGATTTGGTAATATTAGAACCTGCTAAAGCCTTTGACCACACATCCCATATTTTGAACCAGGTATCTCTGGTTTACTGACTTGTTTCCTTTTATCCCACTGCAGGCCAGTAGTAGGAGTTGGATTCTTTTCTTGATTGGTGAGTTTAAAACAACTGAAAATGTTCTTCTGCTATGTACATTTTGTAAACTACAAGCTTGGTCTGAAAACATAACCATTTTTGAGTTTGAGGCAAGTAATTTAAAATAAATAAATTTAAAATGTTATCCTGGAACAGATTTTTTTTCATGCTCAGAAAAATGGAAGAGGTCTTCTTGATAGTTACAAAATATGGAAAAAGAAACATGTATTTTTTAAAACCAACTCTTAGAAATAATCTAATAGTTTAATAGTAGTCATGAAGATTTCAACATAGGTGATATTTTGGTTTCTTTAATAGGGATTGCACAAGTTCTTGGGATGGAAGTGTCATCAGATCAACTGTACCTATAGCTTGACACTCTGTGTGTCTGTGCGTGTGCATAGCTTGATTTTATCTAAGTATCAGTAACAGTGATACCTAAAGCTACTGCAGATAAACACAGGTTTCTGATGACAGCATCTTAAGTACAGGAGAAACACTCTTGTGCAGGTTATGTTTATGATACCATCGTATCCCTGAGGTGCTGACAGAGCTTCATTCACAGTTTTTCTGTGAGTTGTTTTTCTGTATTTTACATTTCACTTCTCTTTCTTGATGAAAATCATGGATATTACTTCGCTTTAAATAATGACATTAAGAATTAACATAATAATAACTTTTAGTACCCTGGTTATTTTAAAGGAATTAAAAATCTCAGTTTGACTTCTTAATAGATGTAAAGGGTATGTTTTGGACAATAGAATTGTATTTCAAAAAATAATGTCATTAATAAGGAATAATTTTTAATACATATATGTATCAAAAGTGCTAAAGCTAGTTTTCTTAATAATTTTTTATTTTCTGAATTTTTATGTCATGTGGAGGTTTGTTTTATTTCACTAAGGCCTTGGCTCCCTAGTTGTAGCAGTTGTTCTGCTTGATCTGTAGCAACCAAGTTAAATGAAACAGGTTCTCCAGTAATGAAATCATTACAGTGGGGAAAAAAAACCAAAGAAAAATAAAAATAAAAAGAAAAAAAAAGGAGGTCCAGTCTATCCCTGTTGTGGCAGGAAATGGGTAACTAGGTCATCCCTGACAGATGTTTGTATGGGCTGCTGTTAACAACCACAAATGAAGGGGATTCCACAACCTCATAAATCTATTCCATCTAATCTAGACTTTAGGTTAAAAGGATTTTTTTGTTGTTGTTGCTGTTGTTTCATTTTTTGTATCTAGACTACTCTTCTTTGATGCAAATTAAGCAGTTGTTATAATTCAGGTGTTGTACAAAGATCTGTTGACCATGACTTTCTGTATGCAACCTTTTATGCATTTTACATCCAATCTTCCTTTTTCTGAAGAAGCAAAGCCTCATTTCTTCAACCTTTCCTTGTAAGTTATATACTCAAAATATCATTCTTGTTGACTTTATTTCAACTCTATCCAAATTGTTGAAATTGTTCGTGGAATGCATTGCCCAAAATTGCACAGAATGCTCCAGCTGATACCTCAGCAGCACTGAAAATTGCAAAATAATTAGGTCCTGCATCTCACATACTGCACACTTCCTAATACATCTTGGAATGTGAAATACCTTTCTGCAACATCATCATATTGACTCATATTTAGTTTGAAATCCACTTGTACATTCATTCATTCTTTGCAATCCTGTTACCTTGTTAAAGCATCATCAGGTTATATTAATATACTCTGTCTTATTTTTGTCAATTTTAGTCTGCCGGTATGAGCTTATTTCAGTTGTGGTTTCTCACATTATCTAAATATTTTTGATTCTGATCTGCTTACCTGTGTTTGCAACCCCCTTCCAGACTATTTGCAAATATTACAAGTTTACTCCCTTTCTCCCTTTTCTATTTTCCAAACTGTTCAATGAAAAATTGAGTAGAACAGGATGGATGAGAAGTCCCTGAAGGATGTTACTGCAGTGCCATCCTACTCTATCAGAAAACTATTAAATAAATATTTTTAGGGAGAAATATTTAACTACTTGTGTATCAACTGTTACTTGACTTTGTCTACCCCATTTTTTGTATTGCAGGCAAAATTAGAGAGGACCCAACTAAAGACTTTGTTAAAGTACAGATACCACATTAACAGCTTCCTTCTTATTCAATAGGCCTGCTGCCCTTTCTCGGAAGGAAACTGGAGAGGTTTGACACAATAACGATCCTAAGATTACATTTTAAAGCATATTGTTCTCTTCATCCTATACACTAACTGCCTAACAACCTATGACAGTATCTTTCAGAGATGCATGGTTATTTATGAGAGGCCAATGGCATTTTGTTTCCTAAGGCAGTATTTTCATCATTTCTAGTCTCCTTGGACCTCTCTTGTGCTTCATGAATTCTCAAAAAACCCAAACCAAAACAAAAACCATCTCCAGAACACCCTCCCCCTGCTCCCATCCCAGAATCATCATACAGAGATTATTTTATCTTTTAAGTGCTCCAGGGTAATTTTTAGCACATTTTCCTATGGAAACACAGTTTATACAATCCTACATATGACCTGTCAGGCCACACCGTGCCTTTTGAACTTGTTCCTTACTCTCCAACTGAAGTGGACCAAGTCTCAGAGATACCACATTTCTAAAGATTTTGTGAAAATAAGCAGGTAAATAGAGAGCCTTCCATGGCAACAAGGAATTCAGTGTAAATGAAACCCTGATATCAGGCACTGGAAAACTCACAGAAGAATGTTATGAATATTCCAGCCATAAATTTCAGTCATACTTTTTGCTCTGGCTAATGTGATCAGGAGACAAGGAGGCTGGTTTTATCCACTGCTTGCTGAACTACATGTTTAAGTTAGCAGGATTGGAAACTGGCATTTATTAATATTGCTTAACACATTCCTTCCCTTTTCTGGTCTGTGTGTCTTAGACCTTCGTTGAAAGTAATTGCTTTGCATGTCTGATGCTAAGATATTTTGTAGACACATTAGGCAAATAAGCTTTGAATATTTCAGAATTCTTTGTGTCACATTATGTGCTTTTACTTAGATAGTCTTTTACTTAAATCCTTTCCTAGATTAACTCATATAGCCTCTAAGCCTTCATCCTTTGTTCATTGTGTGAGTTTACTATTATTTTAAACTCATTTTTAGTAACCAGTTCTTATTTTCACTGTTTTGAGTGATTCCTTCCTGTTTTTCAGTTAACCAAATAGCTCCTGATGAAGCCTTGCTGCTCTCTTTCAGTGCTTACTTTACATCAGGGTAGTCTGCTGTTGTGCCTTTAATACACTTCTTTCAGTAACTGTTGGCTCTCCTGTGCTCCTATTTCCTTATGAATTTCTTCCAAAAGATCTTCCCACCCGTTCATTCTGTGAGCCAAGAAAAATCCACTTTTGGAAAGCCATACTCTTTCTGTAACTCTGTGCTTTCTTTGGCATCGCTAACTTCATTGTTTTGTGATCAGTTTCATATTCATATCTTCCACCTTTGTCTCATTAGAAAACATTAACTGATGAGCTAAATATGCAAAGCAGCCTTTCCTCTCTTATCTCCCCAACTGTCTCAGTACCCTGAAGGAAAGGTTGTTCCAAATCTGCTGACTATGGGGCTGTTATCTTTTCTTTTGGAGGTGTGCTTGGACAGAACAAGGGGTAGAACACTGAACTAAGTGGGAACAGCTGGAGCAAAGCAGCTTCCCTATTCCCAGCACAGGGGGCATTGCAGAATGATGCAGCAGATCAACTCCTGTGGAGCTGGAAGGGAACTGAGGCAGAGAATCTGTAATTATAAGACTGTTATTTTAGCATCTAATATTAAATAATCTGTCAGGTTTATTGTTGGTGTTTTGTGGCCAAAATTTGAAGGCTTTATTCAACAATTACAAAAAAAAAAAAAAAAAACAAAAAAACACCAAACCAACAACCCTGAACTGGTTGCCTGTTGCCTGAAAAAAGCATCAAGACATGCCCCATTGCTATTGGAAACCATATACAGACATGGCTCTCTGCAAACACTGTCTGTCTCTAATGGCTTAAAATCAAAGGCAACAAAATAAGCTCCAGGCAAGACAGATACTTCAGGCAAGAAGATATAAGGTGTAAAGAGTGAGACAGAACTATAAAAGACATGTGGGAAAGCATGAGCTTAAAAAACATGGAGCGGAAACCTGACAGATAAGAGGGGCCTGTTTACCTGAGAGCAGCATTGTAAAAGGAATAGTCTGAGTGTAGAAAAAAATTGCAGGGAAGAGCAGACAAGTAGATTGCAAGGGACATGGGAAGAAAAGTAATATAATAAAATAAAAACAGACAGATGGGGAGAAAGAAAATGAATGTAGCATCCATCCAGATTTTTTTTAAATTTCTTCACCAGGGAACATTTAAACCGAATTATTTTTTATTAAAATAACATAACCAAGAAGATTGTAAAACTGTCCTTGATTCTGACTGGAATGTAGCTAATAATCAAAGTAGCTAGAGCTGGAGTCAAAAGGAACATTATTTGCATGGCCAAAAAAAATCCCCCAAATTCTGTTTAATTTTTGTGTTTGTTTTGACAGGAAGTTGTTTGCAGGCTTCTTGAAGGTTTGGAACAAAAATCATTATAGCAGAGGTGGATCACTGGATCTGATTAATGGTGATGATATTAAAGGTATAATAAATGCAATTTATGACAATTATATAAATGATAAAAATAGATCTGTGTTTACACAGTGTTTGTGTCTAGTTCTTAAATGTAGGCCTAATGTGATAACATTGTTTTCCTTCTAGCTTCTCTTCATCTTGATAAGCTGGTAGGGAAGGTATATTTTCTAGTATATTATTTATGCATGTTTTTGTTACCTTGCAACTCAGTTGTCAGCAAGTGCCATATTAAAAAAATTGTGAAGCATGTAGTGCACTATATGGCTTAAGAATACAGCTCTAATTCAGTGAGCCTCAGAATTGATTTGAGTTCAAAATAACTTTTTCCTGTAAAAGTGTTACTGCACTAAACCAATTTTAGAAAACTTTAACTAAACTCTAAAATAAATGTTAGTACAATTGCAAAATTCCTATTTGCTTATAAATAGAAATGCTTTGTGAGAAACAGGTGCAGAAGATGCTCCAATCTGAGATGGTATTCTGAGTGTGTCAAAACTGCATTCTGAATCTTCTGACCTACAGAACACAGACTGGAAGATTCTAGTCATTATCCCAACCCAGAGTGGCCAGGAGCATGTTGGTCTGATCCAGGGAGGGTCCATACATGTGCTCAGCTGTGTTAGGAGATGGAAGGACAAACTTCCAGCACTCACCAGGACAGAAGACATTTTTTCTCTGTTATGTTTTTGTAGCATATTGTATTACATCTAACCTAGAAATGTCAGAAATACATAATTTTGATGATGAAATGATTTCAGCATTTTATACACGAGATACTCTACCAGTATGTCCATGTAGTTCAAGAATATTTTTCTACTATGCTAGTTAAATCAGATTGGCTGCTGGTGTTGGCATAGTTATAGAATATGTGTAGGTCTTTCTATATATGGGGTAGGTGTGCATGTGTGTACATATTTTTATGTATAAAATTCATAAATACTGGCAAATATACAGTGAGGCATACTGTAAAACCTTATGCTTTAAGAAAATACTGCTATGGGTCTATTATCTAGTGCTAGGCTGAAAAGGAACTAACAAAGAATTTGAAACCTCCATTTCACTGGCCTTACAAATAATTGAGGGGATAAATCAAAGGATTCTAAGTCTTGGTTGCTCTACAGTCTTGTGCCAAGTCCAAGGAGATGGAAGAAGCTACATGTAAAATAGATGCCAAAAACATCAGAGGTAAAGATCCTAATGATTTCTGACTCCTGCATTTCCCTGATTTGTAGCTGACAGAGACTGATTTAAGTTTGGAAGCCTATGGTTCAGCATATAGTTTACTACTTTTCAGGGATATTGTAATTTCTTGTAACACTTCACTTTCTTTCCTAAAAGAACCAGCCTGCTTAATCAATTTCCTCTTCTACCTCTACTTCTTCCAATAATCTCTTGAATTGGAGGCCTTCCTTCTAATTACTGACATAATTTAAAAATGGTCTTATTTGGAACCTCTCTGTAAACATCCACTATTTATATAATCAGTTACCTGGCGTGGTCAGTCGCTACGCCTTGGTGTTGCAGTATCTGCTGTTTGCATGAAACCTAAGCCAGCTAATAGCACTTTGGTGGGAAAAACAGAAGTAAATATATGCAGTTATTAACAATATGCAATATTTGATGTTATTAGATACACATCTTTCATGAGGACACCAAAATGTATTTAGTGCCTATGAACAATGAAGGTGAAGATCTCAGAACAGGGAAGGAACTGCCATATCTCTGTAACTTGTCCCACAGTCATAGCATAGTATTCCTTAAGAACATGTGGGATAAACTCTGGATTTTGTGTAATGTTTGAAATTATGTCTCTTTGTTCTCTAAAGGATGTATGTGGAAATTTTGTAATTGACATTTGACCTGAGCACACAGTAATCTTTATAGATGCAAGGTAGAGGTCTCCAAAAATTGTCACTATTCAGACCATTAATTTTTTTCTTTAAACATCTTCCTTTGCTATTTGCCAGTTAACTTCTCTTACTTTCTAGAGATTGTGAAATTACTGTGATTAAAGTTTCTTGCATTGGTAATTCGTGACAAAATTGAAAGCTCTTACAATTTTAATGCTTTTCAGGATTTTGTTGCTGACCTTTTTTTTATCTTTGGAATAAGAAAAATTCCTTGTGCTTTTCTGTTTTTCAACTGTCCTCAATTAAACACTTACTACTGCCATAAACATTGCTAACTTTCATTTGACACATTCTTATGAGAAAAACAGCACACACGCTTTTCACTCCTTTCTGTTCTGATCTGAGTTTTGAGGTCTTCTTCCTTAGGAATTAGCAAAACTAAATGAGTTTTCTGGGACTTCACCTGGAGTCAAGTTTTCCCTTATAAGGTGTGTGGCACCTTATTCATTGTTATCCAGAGCAATCCCACTGAAAGTTGATTCCCTCTATCTACTACCTCAAGTTATGCCTGATGTTAATGGTCTGCAGTGTTCACATAAACCTTGATAGCAGACTATTCTGTTCCTAAAAACTAGAAGGCAAAGAGAAATATTTAATATTTATTGTATTTAAAAAAAATAATTAGTAATACTTAGTACTATTTGAGTTGGATTTAGTATTTAATATTTTGGGCAGGTTATGCTGACTGACTGTTCACCACTGTGAGAAAAAGGCCATTTCTCTGGCCACTGGATTATAAAGTTTTATGCAGAATAAACACAGGGCATTCAAGGAAAAGCATTATGTACATTTACAATGCTATTTGTTAAGGGAAGTCTTTTGAAATTTGAAATTTCTGAAAGGTACTAAGGAAGGTTTCCCTCCTGCCATGATACTATTAAATTCATAACACTGAAGCAATGGGGCTTTACAAATAAAGGGGTATTTTAAAAAACGTGTCAGCTCTAACTCAGTAAGAAAGTAGGTTTTCTGTAAACTAAAGAGAGGAATATACATATACCCAGCTCCATGTATTCTTGAAGTTATGTATGTTGTTTCATCTGGAGATGATCTATATAATTCACACTCTGCTTTCAATCTCTACATCAACAATTCATGAAACCAAGAGATACAGCTCTACTATGTTACAAATGCAGACTCAAGCCATACTTTGCAGCAGGTACTGTGCTCTGCTGGGAAGTCCTGTAGTGCATGCCCACTTACTCCTGGCCTCTCGATGAGGTGTTGTCTAACACATTATGAGATGGAAAAGATCTGATTATTTTTGATAGCATTAATATTTGAAAATATAAAAGACACTTCAGCATTTTTATAATATTTAATCTGCATGTCTGATAGAGGAAATAATGAATGGGATCTTCTGCATGATGTCCTGTTACCCTAATCAAGGTAAATAATGCTTTATTTAAACAAGAAGTCTTAACTGTGTCAGTGGAATGATTTATAGGCAACAGTTTGTAAGCAAAACTGGAAGAAAGAATGCTTGCTTATGCATGGTTTTGTAAGGATAGCAGGGGTTTGTATGAAGTGGATGCAAAGGGCTATAAACAAAGAGACAATTTCTTAATTTCTTTCACTTACTGCTTTTTACTTTGCAGATTTTGAAAGCAGCATGCTGCAGCAGGATATATTCATCAGGAAACAAGGTGCATGTTCAGTTATGCTATCATGGATTGTGGGATTATGTACCTAGCAAGAATATTCTATACCAGCTGCTAAGTATTAATACTGCAGTCAGAGTGAACTAGCACTGTTTTACTTCATTCCCAAGTATTGGAAATTTCCTGATGTAATTTGCTTATGTAAAGTCTGAGAAGTCTTTAGGATCAAGTCCTTATTAAAAGCAAGTCCTTGTTGAAATATCAGATCACCTCTCTTTAAAAAATATATATATATAACTAGATATATGCCCTGGAACAGACTTGTTTAGCAAGTAAACATACTAATTTTTACTTTAAGTTAATACCAAACTGCAAGGAAACTTCCAGCTATGCTGTATACTTGTGGGAGGTGAAGATCTTAGATAATTTCACAGATGTCACTTTAAAAGGAAGAGACAGAATTAGTAATATGTGTGTTGTGCAGAGAACTGCAATCCAGCATTAGTAATCTATTCCTGTCATTCTCAAATAGAAGGGAAAGTAGGTTAGTAGATGGACAGGATGTCTCCACACAGCAACCACAAAATAAGTGCCATGCCTGAATGATGGAGATATTCTTCATATGCATAAAATGCAATATATCCGCAACCCGTTGATTTTTTGTAAGTAATCAAAGTCATTGTTATCCCTGATATATATAAAAATATATATAAAATATATTTACCAGTTGCATTGGTAAATTAAAAGGCTTTGTTTCAGAAGTGAGTTTCCATATATCTCACATTCTCGGTCATTATTATGTTAATTTCAAGGAAGAAAAAACTGAAAAATTCGGCGAAGTTTGCACTTTTGTCTCTAAACTCAAGGCAGAGAGGGACGTTTTGAAATTTGCCAGGTCGCTGTTGGTGCCCACCTGGGAGCCCCAGCCTGGCGGTTGAAGCGGGTGAGGTGGTGGGCCTGGTAAATGGCTCCTGCCCGACTCCCAGTTCATCCGATGGGAGCTCTCGCTCCTCAGCGAAGCGGCCAAAGCCTTCTCCCTCGGGACATCAGCTTCTCCCGAGTGTCGCCGAGTCTCTGCTGGCACACCATCCTGTCCGATAAAAGGTATGCCGAGAAGCGGCAGGCGCCCGAGAGCTCCCGGCGATGCTGCCTGAACAACGTTCACCTGGATCGCGCTGGAAAGCGCCCGCTCAGCGCCGCCGCTGCCGCCCGCACTCTGGCAGCGGGCTGGGCTCGCCCCGCGCGGCCGCACGCCGGGAAGGTGTCGGGGCGGCGCGGCTGCGGCCCCGGCCGCGGCACCGCGCGTACCGTCTCCGCCGCCGCTCCCGCCCCCGCCGCCCCGCCCCGACACAACCATGGCCGTGGCGGCGGGGAGCGGGGGAAGGCGCGGTGGCACGGGCAGACCGTGCCGCCGGGGAAACCGAGACGGAGGGGAACGCCGCGGCCTCAGGGGAGCTAGCTCCGGCTGGGCCGGGGCGGCCAGAAGAAGGCCGCCTGCGGCGCGGAAGGTGCGCGCTTGAGCAAGGCAGGGAGGTATCGCCGCGGGACGGGCGTGCACGGGGAGAAGGGTCAGCCGGCGGGCGGCTGCCAACCGGCCCGGGTCGGAGCCCGGAGGCGGAAGCAGCCGGCGTGCTCGGGCCGCGCGGCGCGGTGAGGCTGGGGGCAGGTGCGTGCCCGACTGGCGCCGCTCCCGCCGGCCGCCCCTGGGCGGCTCCGGCTCGGCGGGGCTCGGCTGGGCGCCGGCGGAGCGCGGCGCTCGCTCGGCTCGCGATCGTGTTTGCGCATGACCCCTCCCCGCCTGCGCCCTCCCCTCCCCTCCCCGGCGGCAGCGGCGGCGGCGGCGGGGAAGGTTGGCCTCAGACACAGGCGGCTGCTCGGCGGCGGCGACGCAGTGCAGAGGTGCGGGCAGGTTGCGCTGGCCCCGCGCCCCGTCTCTCTCGCCTCCCGCCTGCCTCCGGAGCTCGCTCCCAGCCGGCGGCCTCCCCGCGCCGGTGTCGGGCCGGCCCCCCGGCCATGAGCGCGGCGCTTGGTGTCCCCCCGCCGCGCCGCCTTCCTCGCCGCCCCCGGCGGCTGCCGGGCTCCAGGAAAGTAGCTTGATGAGTGTCCAAAGTAGCAGTGGAAGTTTGGAGGGGCCGCCATCTTGGTCCCGGCTCTCCACGTCCCCACCGAGCCTGCAGGGCTGCTCCGCGGCGGCGGCGGCCTCCCAGCTGCACGGCGCGCCGCCCGGCAAGCCGCCCAAGGAAGGTAACCAGCGCGCCGCGGGGCTGCGCGGGGGGCCCGGCCCTTGGGGAGGGGCCCGGCCGCCGCCGCCGGAGGCCGGTCCCGGGCCGCTGGGAAGCGGCGGCGGGAGAGGCCGGTGCCCCCGGCGGCGGCGCGGGGTCAGCGCTGGGCCCGGTGGCGGTGAGCGGAACCTCGGTCGCTGGGCGAGCGGGGCCCCGCCGCCCCCGCCCGCTCGTCGGCGCGGCGGCGCCTCGTTGTAACCCCCGCGCCGGGCCGCGGAGGGGAACCCGCCGTGCTCCCTCCGTCCCCGGGCCGTCCGCCTGCCGCAGCCGCTCGTGTCTCCTCGGGCGGCCGCTCGCCGCGTCCTCCCCGAAATAGGCTCCCCTCCGCCAGCGGCTAAGTAGAAGTGCTGCGCCGGAGGATGCAGCCGCTGTTGCTGGAGGGAGTTGGGCACTTTTGGCATCATGGAGGTTGGAAGAGAGGGGCCGACACCGGAGGTTCGTCCCCGTGGGGAAAGCGCCCTCAGGGGCGGCCGGTTTTGCGGCCAGAAGTGACAGGGCGCCTTGCGGCCGCCACGGAATGACTGCAACTTTCTCCTGTCCTCCATCACGCCTTCGATGATAATATTTTTCTCCTCCCTCCCCTGCTCCTCCCCTCTTGTGTTACACCGACAGCGACAGCAGGGTGTTGTGGGTGTTTGCAGGGAATATCTGTATGAAGGTTATGAGCAAACAAGTCCCTTCGCTGTTCCCTTTCGGGTATTGTCTGCTTTTCCTCCTTGTGTTTTGTTGCCACAAGATGTAGCAGTTATACAGCTAGTGAGTTGCTCGGCGCTTTTAGCTAAAATAACTACTTGCAGAACGCCGGTTAGTGGCGGAGAACTTTTATGCACAAATGCTTGCATACTGAGCAGTTGTATAATTTTAATTGATTTGCCCCAGATTAATGAATACCACGGAGCATCTGCAAAACGTCATCGCCCAAGCAGGAAACTTGCTAACTTAAAATAGAAATAGTTGCAAAGATGGAGAGTCTTTGTTTTTTAGGTCTTCCTGTGGTTGCTTGCTTGCTTTTTGGGTTTTTTTATTTGGTTGATAAGCAATATAGGGACTTAGTAACAGGGATTCGACATCCTGAAAATGTATAATGCAGTCTGGTTTCTCCATTTTCCACACCAGTAGTTGTCAGACTTGTATCACTCTGTGTCACTTTTGCACACGCTCCTGCAGGTAGATTGACATGAAATGCTCTAGAAAATACCTGGGAAGGAATTATGGTATATGTTAAAGATGCTGAGTAAAGTGGCAGGCATTTTGTGCTCGTCTTCTCTGGGAAGCCAAAGCTGTTAGAAAAACCATCAGCAGCCAAATTTATAGTTTTAAGTTTATTGAGAGCAGGTATTTTCACTGTTGCAGCTCTTGTTAGGAATATGCATACAGATAATATGTATGTGTAGGATATTTTTGGATGTATTTCAAATACCTGCCATTTAAGTTTGAAATTATTATTGCAATATAAATTGTCTTATCTATTTATTTTAACAAAAAATGGTGGTCCTTGAGTAGCTCTGTTGAGACAAGAAAAATATTTTTTGTGAAGCTCATTTTTATATGATTATGCTCTTTACATTTTTCTTTCTTACAACTCAGGCTGTTGGATTTTTCCAGGTACTGTAATTTGCATCCTCTAATACAGATTATGGGTTAAAAATAATCAAAACCTTGGTGTTTGCTTGGTACTATAATGTGTTGTATTTTTATAGTGTTCCTTGGTTGTGTTTAAATTGTGTGTCCTCACTAGGTAGCTCTCTTTGAAAATGAGCATAAGCTGCCGTGCTTGGGTTCATGTTTTGCATTCATGTTTGTGAGATGTTATCAAGGCATCTTACTTTATATTTGGTTTACAAAGAAGTATCTTGCCAGAAATCAATAGGCCCTGAAATATAAATATATTAGTATGTTCATGGACATTGGCTTATATATGTGAAAGACTGATGCCAGATCAAACTAATAAGCAAGGAGTATTTGCAGTACAGTGTGTTTATGGGAGCCTGGGCTGTCATCAATTCTAAACTTGTGATACCTGGGGCTTGTGAGTTTTGGAGCAGTGCACAAGGCTGCCAGCCTGCACTGGATCCCAGCTGCATTGCTGCTGGTGCCAGTTTTGAGTGGGTAATATTTACCATATAGCGCATTTGGCACTTGTGCAGAGCTTCTTTCCCAGCCTGGCCTTCTTGTTTGTTGATTAAATCCCTTTGGTTGTCTCCTGTGAGAGTTATGTCCCTGTTGCCTTTGGAAGTGCAGACCTTCACGGAGTGTACCAAGTGTGCTGTGGTTGATCTGACCTCAACTATGAAGGTCTGGTATCAGCTCACATGTCTCACGTGGGCATTTGAAGATTCTGGTTTATTAAGAGCAGAAACCATCTGCACCTTGATTTAGGAAGTTCTAAAAGTATTTTCGGAATCTCTAATAGGAAAAAAGAAAAAAATAAAAGCTCTAGCATATATAACAATTGCACAAACACATTTTAAAAACTGGCAATATCTTGTCAATATCAAGAAACTACTTGGGAAGTATGGGTGAAATTAGAGGAAATAATATTTTAAAAATATTTTAATCTTTTAAAATGTGCTGCAACATTGCAGCAACATTTTCCATTGGATGCTATCTTCTATATCTTGATCTAGAGTGGCCTCATGGCTTTGCTATATTGATTTGATTTTATGTTTTGAGGTTTTGAAATGAAAAGACTGGGACGGACTTGAATACAGTTGCAGCTGTACACTTTAACTGTATAAGAACTATCTCTTGTTTGCATTTTAGTGTAGCTTGTAAATGTCTGTCGTTCTGTCAGTTGTTTTATATTCCCATAACTTAGGTGTGGTATATGTGGTCACTGAAAAGCCCTGCAGTAGATGTTATCAGGAATTTAGGAGGACTGTTATGCAGTATTATTTTGCATACTATATGTGTGGTTGTGTGACTGAATCTTGTGCCATAGCTCACATAATTGCAGTAAAGCCATTTCCTGTTTGAAGTTTCTTTACTTTTGTCTGCTTCGTGTGTGTAACTAAAAATATTAAAGCACATACCTGCAAAGTGCTGTGTTGTAAATTGAGAATGACAAGGCAGAGTCAGAAGAGATTCCATAGATTGTCTTGCATTGGAAGGGACTGTAAAGATCATCTAGTTCCAGCTCCCTGCTACGGATGGGCAAGGACACCTCCTACTAGACCAGGTAGCTCAAAGCCCCATTCAGCTTGGCCTTGAACACTTCCAGGTATGTGGCACACTCAACTCCACAGCTACTGGAGGGTCAACCTGTTCCAGAGTCTCACCACCCCCAAAGTAAATAATTTATTTCTAATAACTAATCTAAATCTACTCTGTATCTATTTAAAGCTGTTGTCTCTTATCCTGTCCCTTCATGCTCTTGTAAAAAGTCTCTGTCCAACTTTCTTATAGGCCCCCTTTAGGTACTGGAAGGTCCTGTATGGTCTTCCTGGAGCCTTCTCTTCTCCAGG